GCAAGGAGGGACAAGGGTGGTCAAGGACCCGGCACTTCACTCCACATACCTTAGAGACTTAGCTGCTATAAATGTTTAAGTCCAGTGCTGGAACTTTGTCTGTCTACCCTGCTAGAGATGGAGTAGTAACTCTCCACAGAGAAAATGGCCCCTCAAAGCACAGCCAGGGCTTTGAAGCCATGTGGTAAAGAGGACTCCTCCCTTATAGGCCGCACACCCACCCCAGCAAAAGAATACTGAGCAATCTGGGGCCAACCTGAACACATAATTTACTTTGATCTTCATCTTCTTTCTTCTCTGCTATCTCCATATTGATATCTGTGTTAGTTACTATTCTCTGCTTGTTGACAAAATACCTGACACCCAAAGTTAACTCACTGTTTGTAGAGGTTTCAGTCCATAATCAGATGGCTCCGAGGCAGAGTGGCACATAGCAGAGGGGTGTTTCAGAGGAGAAACAGTCCATAGCACTCAGAAGACAGGAAAAGCAACAAGGGAACCTTAACAGTGTCTTTCTGCCCCTTTTACCTTATCCAGACTACAGGGATGCCAATCACACGCTCTTAATTCCAGCATCACACAGTGTAGATTCAGCCACCTCTGTAAAAGTCCCATGACTGCGTGAGACTTTCAGGGGACATCGAGACACAAACCATAACAATATCCTGGAATTATTCTTTCTCTCCCTGAATGCTGTGGTTATGAGAAGTGATAGGAGGCCATTTGCGCTGCAAAACTGCTGGAACTTAGTTCGCAGCAGCCAGAAACACTATACATTAAAAACAAAGAACTTTTCTCTACCATGTGATTTGAGGAACTTCCCCAGCTCACACTATTCTAAAATTTCCAGGGTGTGACTGTCTACTTTCTGTCACAAACCTGGATGTGACCTTTTCCTAGGGCTGGGACTCCTTGTGGCACCAATGTAAAGAGCACTCTTGAGCTGCCCCTGGAGAGCGAAAGCACCTGAAAGTTTGTACCTCTGGTGCCTTAGTCACCTCAACGTCACCTATACCTCCAGGCTTTCTCCTACCTGGCAATAAAATGTTTTTCCTGCTCCTGGGACCTCCCAAGGTCTGTCACTGTAGCCAGCCCTGTTTCTGCCTCATGTCCCAGGACTGCCCCAGCATGCACATTCCCACAGAACCTAGCAAATACCAAATGTACAGCAGATCAACCCCGGTCCTAGCCCCTGGGCAGCAAAAATGGAAACTGCCTGGAGGGGTTTCTTTTTCTTTTCTCATTTTAAATTGTAGAATTATAGCATATGGAACCTAGAAGAGACTTAAACAAGTGCATAATTTTATTTGTCTGCTAATATTCCATATTTTGAGTGTATTTATTCTCTCCTGTATTTGTTTTACTTTGGAGAATCTCAGAAAACTATTAATGAAGATAATCTCTATAATGGTAGTTTACAAAAGAAAAGTCATTCCTAAGACTGCCATCTCTCGGGGAAAATGGTAAAATAATTCTAAACAGGTCAGCTAAAAAACTGGAGCTGAGTAACAAATAATGGAAGTATGATAACAAAAGAATCATAGCTAAACCAATGTAATGGAACCAGTTACACTTCTGTGATTGGGTTCAAACAAATATTTTCTTGCTTTTAAAGACTACAATGGATGGGCCAGGGATTTAGCTCAGTGGTGCTGCTGCCTGCCTCACAAGCTCGAAGACCTGAGTTTCATCCCTAGTGCCAAAAATAAAAATTTTTTAAAGTTTAAAGACTACATGGGGCTAAAATAATATTTAAGTAGATAATTTGAAGTTAAAATTATGATATCTCTAGAGGACCAAAATAAAGTAAGTAAAATTATGAACTTTCAATAGGATCAAAATAAATACAATTAAGTAGGGCATATAAGTCTACACCCAAGCTATATTAGAAACTGACATACTGTTTTGCTGTGAGTCCACATAGCAGCTTTTCCTCTGACTGCCAGCATCTGGGCTCTACATTTAGCTAAGTAAGTTTTCCAATCTCAGTAATCCATTCAAATGTGATAGTGAGATAAAATAGTGTTTTTAATGCTCTACCTTGAATGCTTTGATCTAATAAACATTCAGAATTTATAACTTCAAAGCATTTTTATAAGCACTTAATAAAATAGCCTGCAACATCTACCTAACGCTAAAATATCATTATAACATTTTATAGGGACCCGATGCACAGACATTGACTCATCACTAACAGAGCCAAGATTTGAACCCAGTCTCTCTGAGTTCCCAGTCCAGAAACTCCTTAATTGGACAGTCTCACTTCCTCTGCCAAAAATGAGCCTACTGAATCATCTGGTGGAAGAAACATCATTTCACTGTCAATTTCTTTCTAATTAATTCATTAAAAACTAAAATACATCACACCAGAGCTGTGAAACAGAAATGTTTGTATTCGTGTTTATGTAATATATATTGTTTCAGCAGCAAAAGTTCATCTCCATTCAACTCAATTCCATAAAAGAAACATCTTACAAAAATATTTTAAGAGGTACTTTAATTGAAAACGTTAAATTAAATCAATTAAACAAAATATCATCATAATTTTAAGAAAAGATCCTTAAAAGACAGTTCAGGGAAAAGGAAATTGCAAATGGCTCTGATCATCTTTGCCAGGCAAAGAAATAATCTAACTTCTGAAGTTTCTAAATTATATTTCAGAAAAATTAATAAATATCTCATCTTTAAAATTACCAATTAGTCAGTCTAAAGGCTATTTTGTTCAGATGTTACTTGATAAAGACATACTAGAGTTTAAGTTAGTTTTATTTGCTTATTATAAATATACAGGATGACACAGCTTTTTAAATAGATTCTGTTAGTATTTCATTTCCCCTACGCTATTCAAAATCATTGTCAAATTATCATATGACCTAACAAAATTTTAAATGAAGTTGGCATTTCATTTATAATACAATGCTGGAGACTTCGCTTATTAACTCTAAATTCAAAGCACTAACCAATCAAAGATAAAATTGCACAGCTTTATTTGTTAGCCATATAGTGAAGATTTACTGCCTTCTCTTAGCCATATAATTATTCATCCAAACCAAAGACACATTCAGCTTAGAAATCAGAAAGGTTGAAAGACAGAAACTCCTTTGGCCAAGGATGAACATAAAATAAACCAGAAAATATTTATTCAATAATAGGGATCTACATTCAGGTGGATCTGGGTAGAAGTCAGACACAGAACATTTGTTTGTGGGGAGACTTACAACTTCTCCCTCATGCTTCTTAGGTATATCACACCTGGTATTAATACAAGAATTTAAAAGGGGAAGCCAAAATGGCAGCAAGGGAGCCTAATGTATATGAAATAGCACTGGGTCTCTCATTTTTAAGACAGTGCAAAATTGAAACATAGGAAAGAAGAGCTAAAGCAGGCATTTCCCAGTTAATTTAAGGGCAAATATTTGAAAGGTGGCCAGAAAATCGGGTGAATCAATTCTCCATAGCAAACTGGGGAATCTAGTTTTTGTTGTTGTTGTTGTTGTTGTCTGTTTGTTTGCTTTTTAGGCACCCCTATCACTGGTTCACTTGCAAAGTGAAGTGGGGCTGTTCTGCAATACTACATTCAAGGAGCAAAGTTTCTAGCCTAATAATTCAAGATTGCGTCAACTCTTTCTTGACTGCCTATGGAAACTCACTGCGTCACTTTGGCCAAGTAAATTAACTGATGTATGTCTCATTTTGCTTTCCTATAAATGCTGATGTCCTCTGCAGCTGCTGGAAAAATTTATAAGATAATGGCTGTAAAAGGCTTTGCAAGCCTGATGTACTTACATATTGCAAGCTAGATAATAATGATTAAAAATAGGATATTATTAAAAAGAAACTGCTTTAGAATATATCTGAAAATGAGACTTGGAAAAAAACTGAAATTTCTTGGGTAGCTAGGAGCTTAAGGTAAAAATTCTTTAACTTATTCTATGAAGATAACATGGGAAACAACAAAATACAAAGAAAGTTATATTTATGCCCTAAGTAATGATGCTCTACTAATGCCAGTGAATATATGTTTTATATATATATATGAGATATATATGTAACATAATTGTTGAGAAATAAGGCTAGACTTTTACTAGCAGTTTAGACTAGAAAAAAAGGAAAGCTTTGCCTAAAATATACAAAAATTAAAATCAATTTTAATCTTATTTGGAAAATCACCTTAGTTCCTTATAAGATTTTACTAGGTTTTGTTAGATCTCCCTTGCCTCAGGATGGCTGCTACATAAAACAGTAGCCTCCTTCCCATAATGCTGTGCACCTTAAAATGGCTGCCACATGGAATAGCATCCTCTATGTTAAATATGGCTTCTCCTACCAAGGGACAGCCTTCCTCCCATCATGCCTCTTTTCCCCACCAAAAGAGTAAACTGATACTTGCTACCTCTGAGTAACTGGTGATGTTACAAGCTCCTGCAATCCCTTAATGCTACCTCGCTCAACTCCACCCCAGCTCAGGCTAACCCCACCTCACTCCTATAAAAGAAGTTCCCTATTTCTCCATGCTGCTTTTCCTTTGTTAGGAGACAGCCTGGCAGATCCTCCCCATAATAAAGGCTTGTTGTACTCCTGGTCTGGTCCTAAAGTTTTTACCTAACAGATTTGACCACACCGAATGTAAAGACCAGAATTTAAGAAGTTAGCTCAGATAAGATATGGTTATTATACTAAGAGTAAAATCATACTAATTAAATACATAGATTTATAAAACCTATGTGATGGAAGTATTAGACTTGAGTCAAACAAACATGGTTTAGAAAACTGGTTGTTCTACTTGCTGGCTTTGTGCTTTCTAACAAATCCCATAATCCCAGAGTCTCAGTTTCCATGTGTGTAAAACAAAATACTACCTTCATTATTGAGTTGCTATGAGAATTAATTGAAATCACATTTGAAAACTTATTTTTTCAAACTCTAGCTATCCATTAAGACATTTAAAAATAGTATCTATTCTGTTTGAACTGAATTCCATACCTACTTATAAGACTTACCTCATTTGAGAAAATGTTGTCTAGCAGCTCATTAACACTTTGAAAAAATGTAAGTAGATTGACATTATAAGTGCTATTGTTAACCCTTAACAGATAATTTTTCTTTCAATGATAGTTTTTCATGTTATACTAGTAATGCATGTATTTTATACAGGCTACTCATTTTATAGGTTTTCTCAAAGTATACATCATTTCTATTTGTGTTTATTCTTTTTTGACAGAGAACCACTGACAGACAACCTGTGGGTGTATTTTCAGATGATAAATGATAAATTTGAGATGATAAATCTGAGCTCTTACCTAATCAAATACCTCTCCTTTCAGGTGAGGAAACTGAGTTCTAGAGTTAGGGTAACTTACTGTGCTAGAACTATGAATAAAGCTCAGGTCTCTGCAGTACTTTTCCAATATGCTTTTCATGCCTTTAAATAAAACTTGAGAGGCAACTCGTTGCTTTAAAAAAAATAAATTTGATAAGAGATTTTAAACATTTCCTTAGCGAAATCATGTTATGTATATTGTGCTCATATAGGGCCTAGCAGAATTCATTCTTTGATACAGTGAGTACTCCGAACATAATTTCATGTGAACTGATTTTTCTCAAGGCTATAGTGTTTGACTTTCTTTTTTTTTCCCCTCCCTTTGGTATATTTTGACAAAATTACATTTTTCTTTTTGCTGTATATTATGCTGGAAACTATACTAAGTATACAACATAGTTAATGAATAATGGAGAAGCTATCTGGAATTTTAAAAATTATCATACACTAAAGGAAGATGCATTACTAATATGGGTGATATACTCTAAAAGTCTCTTTTTGTAAAGAATGAAGAGATTTATTTTGGGCCTGCATTGTCTTACTTTCTGCCAGTGACATTTTTAAAAATTATTAACATAACAAAGAATTGCCATTTTAACCATTTTAAGGGTCTAGTTCAGTGGCATTAAGTATAATCAAATGTTGTGCAACCATAACCATTCTCTATATACAGAACTTTTTCGTTTTCCCACACTGAAATTCTACCCCATGAAGCAATGACTGTCCATTCCTTCTCCCTTCCACCCCCCCAGCCTCTGATACTCACCCTTCTCCTTCTCTTTTTTTTTTTCTTCTCTTGAGATAGGGTCTCTAGGGTCTTACTATGTACCTCAGGCTGACCTTCAACTCTCTATGTTGGCCAGGCTGGCCTTGAACTCATGGTAATCCTCTTGCCTTACCCTCCTGAGTGCTAGGATTATAGGCCTACACCACCACTCTCAAATACCATGCTACTTCTCTCTCCAGGAGTTTGACAATTCTGAGGGCCTATAAGCAGAATCTTAAGATTATGTTTTTCTACTTACAAAGCAATTGACCAAATTTTTCATATTCCTTTCCTTACCTAAATTTTGGTGTTGGACTGTGTCTATAGAAAGGTCACATCCTGAAGAAAACTGGAAAATAAAGTAACCCTAAGATGTTGATTTTTTATCTTTATTAAATTTATTGGTACAATTTAGTTATGCAATAGTTCCATTCATCATTGGGATCTTGAACCTATACATGACTTACCAGGTTCGTATGTTTCCCCTTTCCCCAGCCCTCCCCTCAGCCCCTCAACCCTTCCCTGTTTACAAAGACATTGTTTGCATGTTTTTCCTTTTCACATATTTTTTTTCTTTTCCCTTCTTACCTTTCTCTTGCCCCTCCCACTTCCTCCACTCTTTGAGATTTGTCTTCCTTTTATGCAATATCAATTATACATTTTAATCCTTATTTACAGTCTTACTTTTGTATAACACAGAAACTATTCGGTATTTACACATGTGTGACTTATTAATTTCACTTAAGACTAAGGCCTCAATGTGCACGTACTTATCTATATATAAATCTCTCTAGTTTCTTGTTCTTTTTGGCTGAGTACTATTGCAGTTTATTTAAACACACACACACACACACACACACACACACACACACACACACACACACACACCTTCTTTATCCAGTCTACAGTTGATGGGCAATTAGGCAATTTCCAAATTTTAGCTATTACAAACTGTGCTGCTATAAACATGGGTGAGCATATATCTCTATGGTATGATTCTTTTAAAAGATGTTGATTTAATTCCAGTATAAATGAAAGAATAAACATACACTTGTAATTAAGGAAGTTACACTCATCAACTTACTTGCAATGTTATATTCACGTTATATTCCAACTGTCACAATACTGCACAGGCACTAAAATTCATGATTTGAAGCTAAAGCAAAAGCATGAAAAAACTGATTGTATTCTAAATATTCACTAGGAAATATTTATTTTGCATAACTGTATATAAAAGAATACTGCACAGCAAAAGGGCAAAAAGAAATACACCAAAATAATAATAGTAGCTTTGTTAGACTAGCTCTTATTATCTCTACTTCTGTAATAGAAAAAACTTTACAAGTAAAATAAGTTTCATCTTTTGAAAAATCACCCCACACACAAGGACCCAAGTTCAATCCCTGGTACCAAAAAAAAGAAAAATCACCCCACATCTTGATAGTCCTCCATATTGTATAACCTGTCTTCTCCACCAGCAAGTTTAAAATTTATCATTTCTTAATCTTTCTAGCACCTTAAAGATGTGTCCACAGCCTGCAAGCCACTTGTCCTTTTTAGTGTTGTGATTTTTAAAAATTTATATTAAAAAGTTATGTTTCTCATAAACATCTACATTACAGCTTGTGTTTAGATGTCCCCTCAAAGCCTCATGTGGTCTTACATGGGGCGTTTTCAGAGGTGATGGAATCTAGAGATGTGATTAATTCACGGTACAATGCTAGTCCTGAGGGCCCCAAGAGTAAGGGTGTGAGGGCTACCCCCACTAAGTAGTCTGAGTAAGATAAAAGGAGCAGGAAGACTTCCCTGGTTGCTTTGCTATCTTTGTCCCACCATGAAATGTTTCCCCTCTGTCATGTGCCCCTCTGATTTGGAGCCAGCCAACTATGGACTAAAATTGTAAAATAAATAAACCTTTCTTCCCTTAAATTTGGGTGTTGGGCATTTTGTCTCAGCAAAAAGAGAAAAGTAACTAACACAATATATGCTGTATTTTATATAGGGCCCAAGATAATTTCTCCTCGTTCACTGAGGCCCCGGCAAGCCAAAATGTTGGACACCCATGCTAGATTAAAGGATTAGGTCCTATAATTTAACTTCTGGCTCTCCGTTGCACCTGGCCAGAAACTACCTGAGGAGCAGGCAGTGTCTAGTGTCTTCTGGCCCAACTAGTTTCAATATAGTGGCTTTGGGGTCAGCAATAGGAGGAGTGCCTTCTCCACTGCAGCAGACAGAGTTTGGTTCAGGAATTGGTGGTGACCCAATCTAGAACTTGTTCCTCCAACTTTATAATGATTGCCTAAGCTTTCAAACCTCACTTATGAAATCCCTTCCCATTTAAATAAATTAGAGTTGAGCTTCTGCCTGCAGATAAAAAATATTTGTAAATAGAAAAGACTAACAAAGCGTAATTTTTCTAAGGTAGATGAGAGGTAACTTAAGAGATCATTCAACCAGAAGGTTCACCATGAAATAATATTGAAACTTTAAATACTTTAATTTCAAAAGATCGTTGTGATAGAATAACAGACCTTTCAGTGAATAAAAGCCATGAGTATCACTGTAAGACCAAAGCATTCATAGCTGATATGTGACTTCTTCTTCAGCTCTCTGTTCTGCTTTAGCAACCATGCTAGGCTATGTTCCTTACAAAGCACCAGTCTTATTAGCCCACATCTTAGGGATATTGTGTGGAAGAGAGCCCACAGTGATCCAGATAAATATGTAATGTAAGCAAGAAATAACTTTCATCGAATGAGATTTAGGGGTTAATTTGCTATGCTATAGTCTGATTAATAAATAGTATCTAAAATATAAAGTGTTTAGCAATCAAAGTAAATAAAGATAACTTTAAACCCGTGGCCAGGCCTGCTGACACACATCTGTAACCCCAGCTACTACAAAGATTGAAGAATAGGATTACAAACCTAAGTCTAACCTGGGCAATTCAGTGAGATTTTTGTCTCAAAATAAACATTTCTGTAGAGGGCCAGGAGTGTAGCTCTGATAGAACACTCCCTGATATTGAAGGAAAAAAGGTTAAAGAAAGCCTTGTATATTTTAGAGAACATTTTATTCAATAATACTCAATCAAATGAAGAATAGATGAAGAAGTCACAGTCAGTTTTCATTGAGCAAACATATCTGGCTTTACCTGAAAGCAACAACAACAACAAAATATAGCACATTATGAAAATCCCTAAATATTTAGTGATGTTAAAAACAACTACTTAATTGTGCTTTTTAGTTCTCACATTAAATAAAGAATTCATGATGTGCATGTTTCTTTAAAATAACTCCTCAAAAAATGTGATAACTTTTAAAATTTCATTTATTGTGAAATTGTTGCTTGCCTGCAAAGAAAAGTATGAAACAATTGCTAACAAAATTTGTTGAAATTGCTTCTGGCAAAACTAAAGGAGATGTGAATGCAACACTCATTTGAACAGATTCATCAATATCTGGTCACTTTTGCAGCCCTTTTCCTTTTCAAATTCGTTTTCAGTATGTGCAACAGTAGTTTTCTTTTGTTGCTCTTGTTGTTCAATAGGAAATTGTTTTTATTTCATAAATGTATGAGATTTTTCACCTGACATAGCTACTGGCAAAGTTATTTTCTATTTGTTCTAATCTGCGTCTAATGTGTGTAGAGTGATCCAGGCTATTAGGCCAACACTGGTGGAGGAAACCATCCTCACGGTTTTGTTGTTTGGGTATTTTGTTGTTCTAATTCCCTAAGAAATGACTCTCCACTATATCTTAAAGACCATAAAGGTCCTTGAAAGAGTAGGTATTGTTTGGTCCATGACACAGAAAAAAAAATAAAATGGGAGTAAAGTGGGAGAGATTTTTATTAATGTAAAAAAAACTTCTGGACTGACAGAAAGGAAAAAATATTGAAATGGTTTATTGAGGGTGAATGCCTGTCTGTTGTGAAGCACATCATTAAGAGAGACTAACTTCTTTCAAAGAGGGAAGGTCAGGTACTCTCTCATAGTCCTTTCTAATTCTGTGGTTTTATAATCATAAGATTAATATCACATCAAAATTCTCTTGGCTTCTCTTGTTTTTATGTATGTCACTCAGTGTCTTTTATGGTTGTTATTGACTAGTGGGGATGTGAGGAAGGTCTACAGCCTATCTCTGGCCAAGTGAACGCGCGCACACACACACACACACACACACACACACGCATGCACGACAACTCATAGCATGGTGAGAGACAAATTCCAAATTGTATGGGACTAGTAGTAAAAAGAAATACACCGTTGCCCTCCTCATCAAACGTCTACATCTCTGAGCAAGGCCTCATTGACCAGACGCAGATTTGACAATGAAAATTATCTTCATAGATCCCTTGTCTCTCATCACACTTCCTGGTTCCTCTCACCTTCAGAGTACATCTGCTATCACCACCTTCTCAGTCTAAGAGTGGCCTTTCCCCAACAATTAGCAAATAGTTGGTCTCTTCTCATGGCCGGGGAAGGTTTGTTTACTGAAGTTGGAAATGTGCTCAGAAAGACCTGGGCTAGAATATTTGTTTCCTTTTTCTATTCTTCCCTGCTCTTCTGTGGCTGGTTCATTAAAGAATTCAGATATCTTGCTCCAGAGTTAATCTGCTGCCAACAGCTCTCAACATGCCCATACGTATGATTCCCATCCCCTCACAACCATGACTTATCAATCCAAAGAGTGCCGCTCTCCTCCCAACCTGTGTAACATTATTATGCTCCCTTTATTATCTAGTCTTGGGACTAGCCATTACATTCTACCAAGAGTTGAGGGAAAGACAACCTCATCATGCATAGAGGTTGCACAAGCCAGCAAATTGTGGCTATGGCCTGAGAAGCAAATCTAGCTCACCACCCATTTTATAAGTACAGTTTTATTGGAGCACAACTGTGCCCATTCATTTATCTATTGTCTGTGGCTGCTTTTGCTGGGAAACAGAAAAGTTGAGTAGTGCAACAGTGACCACATGTGCCACAAAGCTTAAGATATGTACAACCTGGTTGAATATTGACAATGTTTGCCAACTCCTGGTGTAGTGTATCATGTCTAACAGCAAGACTCCTTCAACCTCTAGGATTTATCTTAGCTGCTGTTTATGAAAGTCAAAGAGAGGACCCTCACTGTAGCTTCCAATCTGGAGGTGGGTATTGCTGCAACCTGGAGGAAGTCGAGAAGAATTATCCAAGGAGTTTTATTGCAGGAAAGAAAGTAGAATTGTTTGTGATGAGCACCCTATTTTCTGCATCACTCAACAATACCTCTTAAGTATCCGGAATCAGGAGGAGTAACATTCACCACATGGGAAATCCACATAAGAGAAGTTCACTGTGCAAATTC